AAAAAAAAAAAGAAAAAAAGAGGGAGAGAAGAAAAGAGAAAAAACGCAGGAGCGAAATAGCTGGCAGTTATTATACAGGAAGGTTCCCTCGGGACTAGGCTTCCTAGAATTAGAAGCTCCAGGACATTTTTCACGAAGACGACGTTAGCTTTCCCTGTCAGGTTAATGAATCAAGGGAACGCCCCAGAGAATGCGGAAACAATTTGCGGGAAGCTCGACGTTCCCGATTCGGACTCTCGACTATTAACCCTCTGGAACTTGGACGAGCGACGGTAGAGCAGAGACAGAGAGAGAAAGAGAGAGAAAGAGAGAGAGAGGGAGAGGGAGGGAAGGAGACTCTACTTTAGTAGAGAGCCGGAAGAAAAAGAAAACGAGAGAAGAAGGACACGAGTCGCGGTCGTGCCATAACTTAGCGCGGTATTACGAGATACTAAATTCCCGGTTACTTTATCTCCCGGGGAGCTTTCTTAAAGAATGTTTACGATAAAGGGGTGAGCCTTTGTCTCCGCGTTTCCGACATTACTTGGAAATTACCGCGACGCCTCGACCAGATTCCCGTCTTCCCTTTGTCCCCTTTTCCCGAGGTGTATTTAAAACAATACCGAGTAATCGCCGGTGTTTCCGCCCTCCCCTCGCCCCGCCGGCGCCGACGCTGCCGCTGGAACGGGGAATTCTGAAGACGCTTTAAAGGTATATCGTCCGAAATTAAATCGTAAAAAAAACGGGGAACGGGGCAGGAAGAGGGAAGAGGGAAGAGGGTGAGGCATGAACATTCACGGCGAGCTACCGTGACAAAACCGCGGCGTAAAATGACGAGAACAATGAAAGAATAAAATCCTTTCGTTGGAGTAATTAGCGCGAGAAGCATTAAGGAGACACGGGGCAATTTCGACCGGCCATTTTTCATGCTAATCTGCGGCATTCGCGCTCACCGCGGTTAGCCACGGATCGATATCTCCCTCTCGTCTCGGGGATCGATCGTGAAAATCGTCCTCGGGATATCAGACGCTTCAATCTAAAGGGATTACCAGCCGGAGCGGAGAAAATTCGTCCGAAGATGGTTCAACCGCGACCGATCGTCAAGTTTGGAGAAAGAAAGAGAAGAGTCTGCTAATTATTTTCTTTATCTTTTTTTTTATGGAGAGATTGTTATCTGTTGTGGAAGGAGTCGCCAAATTCCTGCCGCGTAAGACAGAACAATAGCAATAGCGACACGTTTAATCGGCAGTCGAAGCGAACGAAGAGATCAAAGACTTTGGCGAAACGCCGGGCAAAAGTTCGATTCCGACAAATTGAATTAAACGGTCGTTTGTCCTGATTATTGTCTCGGTGAATTTACCTACCGATTGAATCGCATACTCGATAGACTGGAATTAACGCAACGCGTCTGCCGCGGTTCCTCGCGATTCAATCGAACGATTCAATTTAACGAATGCACAGAACGCCTGGCAGCGTGTGATCTCGCGACGATCTCGCGCAGATTTTCAGCCACGAAGGGAATTTCCGCGAAAGGACTTCTACCGGCACAACTGTCAATTGTTCCGCTTCCCTCGACGGACAAGGCTCGACGAGGGAAGCGGGCGCATAAATTTCGTCTGAACGGCATCAGCCCGGGAACGATTTTCGGTATTATCCGCGCAAGCGAAGGATAATCCGGATTTGTGCAATCGGCCCTCAGCTGCAACGGTTCGGCAACCGGATGTGCAAACCGGCTCGGATAATAACTAGCTGCTTATCGGACATTTAAGACGATTTCGCTACGCTACTCCAACCGTCTCTGCAACGATGCCAGAAATCGGGAATGATCCAGGCCCCCGTGTCACCCCTGTGCCGCATCGAGATCTCGAATTCGACTCGTTTGTTAATGCTCCGCCTATCCTCCGTCAAAAACGACGCGAGCGCGATCGTTGATTTGGTCCTATGATAAGGCGTTGTATTTAATCAGTTTTTTGGTTTAAAACACGTAAACGAGAAAAACAGTTTTCTCTAAATACGATAAACATATTCAACTACCAAACTGGTCAAAACGACCATTTGAATATTTTTGTTAGATATTTTCTAGATATAAAACAGTGTATTTTTGGAAAGTTGAATGATTCTTCGTAAAATATATAAATAAAAGCTTGTACACTCTATTGTGTTATAAAGATTTTCTGTTTCTTTCACTTTGACGTCTCCGATGGAAATTTTATGCTTTAGTTTCTAAAGGTGAAAAGTAACAAAGTCTGAAATGACGAATCGTTTGCACTGGTTTTCATTTCGAAAATAACTCAAGGAAGGTAACTTTATCAGTCAGATAAATCGAAATGGTCCTTCGTGTGGGTTGATTCGTTGAAATAAAGTAACAAATAATCTCAGCAGAAAGTTAGAGCAATAGAGTTAGAAA